TCAGAGCGGCGGTGGGAAACGGTTTGCTCCCCGGCAGCAAGACGGTAGCGGAGGGGGCGACAGGGGGAGTGAGCGGCGTTGCTGGGCGGATGTGGAGGCGGTGGCAGCTGGCAGAGTCGCCGACGAAAAAGGGTGGCGGCGTCAGTGACGAAGGAGGCGGGTGAGGATTGCTGTTGGCTGGGGTTAGGGGGAGACCAATGAGCCACCGACCAGCGGGCCCGGGGAAAGGAGAAGGCGAGCGAGCGCGCGTCCGTCGCGTGTGTGCGCTGACGCAAATCCGACTCAAAAATGGGCCGGAAATGGGTCACCCGTGGACAAAAAGCGGACGCGCGTCCGTTTGGATCGGCGCTTTGGGCCGACTTTTCTGTCCGCGCCAACCCAAACGGATAACAGCGGACGAAATGGTCGCCCCATTGAAGTTGCTCTTATGCATGAGTTATGATATGAAATTCGCAGAGTATATTCACATAACATGCCCTTTATGCCTGTGTGTATGTATATATTTACATAGCATGGACAAACCTAAAAGTTGCTTATTACTAAAGTAACAAATTATTTTTCATAAAAAAAGCGATGACAAATCATCGATGCACTTTTCCCCTTTATAAATGATGATGGATTTTCTCGACTTAAAATGAAGCATCAAGGGGATACAAACAGAATACACACATCCCCCTCTTCATGACTAGGATCTACACAATCAACACCAACGCAGACACACAATTAATCACACCAGCAAAGTGCAAAGTCAATACCGGAGCCATGCGTAGGTGGAGCAAAAAGAACTCTCAAGCGATCAAACACATGTTTGACAAACTAGTGCAATGACCATCAGCATCAACAATCGCCTCTTGACATAACAAGGACAATGAGAAGGGGTATTTGATAACAATGTCTCTAAGAAGAGAGCGATGCTCAAGCGCTGTTGTCGTAGGATCCAACCATTAAAGGTCATATCGTGGGTTTTCACCTTGAAGATCAAGTCTGAGTAAACTTCAGTGACTCCTTCAAGAAGGCAACGACGTGAAAACGTCACCATTGCAAGGTGTAACCCAACTAGGGTCAGACCTAGGGTTTTTATCAAACCGAAATCATATTGTGTTGTCGCCTCAACTTTCCACAATACCAAGAATTACATGCATGCATGGTCCTCATGTGAGATCCGATGAAATCATTGGTGAGAGAGGAAGGTCATCGGCAAAGCCAAATTCCTAATATAGGATTATCTGGCACCACTTCATCGACCTCATTACTGGTAGTCGGTGCTAGATCTATAGAAGACAACACCAGCATGCACCACCGCCCTTGCCAGCAACCCAATACCATGCGACATATGTGTTACCGAGCTGAAGACATCCTCACACGGACATAGATGGCGGTCATCTTGACCTGCCACTTTGTCTTTCGTCGTTGGATGTTGTCGTACTACCAAGATCCATCGTCGAGCAGTTTGGAGTCACATCGTCTGGTTGGGTTAATTGGGGTCACCTTGGCAGGCTCAGTTAAGGAGGGCCATAGCGACCACCGGAGGTCATGTAAACCACCCCCCATGGCTACATGCACTGTTAGGGAAACCAAATCGCACCACCATGACAACCCAAGGCCCAGTTTTTTTGGTCGATTCTCCCATAATCTTGAGAATCAACCCTTCACCTAGCTTCTCCTAGAATCTTGAACGCATATTTATTTATAATCCTAGCTAGTTAGGATGAGAACAACTAGGATTGTAAAAAAAATATGGATACAAGATTCTGGGAGAAGCTGGGTGAAGGGTCGATTCTCAAGATTATGGGAGAATCGTCCAAAAGAACTGGCCTCAAGAGGAGCGCCCAACAGGCTGGATGTGGGGATCGCTGGCCACCGACCACTCATCTAGGATTTTTCTTAGTTGATCGTTATAGATTATTTGATGTATCATCCTCTACCTTTTAGGGAAATTCATTGTTACTTAATTTTTTACATTCCACAATCTAAAATAAAGTAAGTCCTTTATTTGAGGGTTTACGATCGTTGCAGAAATCTCATTCTCACTACCGGAATTATCTTGTCCGAAGAAAAAAGAAATACGTCAACCAGAAACACCATTCTTTTTGGTTCGCACAACCAAAAAATTGTTCCGCAGGTCTACAAGAAGGTAAAAAGTAAGGGATTGTATCAAGAACTATATAAAAAAGAATAGGAAAATGGACTTACTTTATTTTAGAATTGCACAATGAAATACTTAATTTTTTAGCAATTATACTACTCCAATCCGAAATAAAAAAGAACCCTCAAATTATTTTTAGAACATTTATCAAATTCAAAGTGTAATCGCCCTCGGGAACGCTCATTCTAAGGTGTCTTTATTTATTATGTATATTTTTTTATAACTATTTATTATGTATTAAGAAGAATCCTTCCATTTTCTTTTTCTTTAGTTGCGCGGACTGCCGCGTCGCCTGTATCCGGTGGTCATCGGTGAGCCGCTGCTGCATACTGCCTCTGGGGCACACTTAGCCAGAGCTAAGCCATGCGCATACATCATCAGGTGTCATGTGGTTGCTTGCGTGTGATTCGTATGATCACAACTGAATGCAACGCGTCGCGGCCGGTGATCCCAGATCGTCACCATGCCGCTGCGCTTCTTGTCGCCGTTGCGCGATTCGTAAGATCGATGTTGAGCGCAACGTGTCGCTCAGCTGCTCCGGGATCGTCGCCATGCCGTTCCTATTCTTGTCACTACTATTGTTCTCTTTGAGTCACTGCCGAGGATGACCGTGGTGGAACCATTCAGGGCCGTGCCGCCAGTGACGGATCCAGGAGTTGAACTTAGCTAGGGTGAAACATTTGAGGTACAATTTTTTTTATTGAGAAATGCAAATGCGCTGAACCAAATCTCATAAAATTCAAATATGAAGCTAGATGCAATCAAAAATTAACATAACCAATGATTCAGATCAGTTCAAGATTCTCAACAACTAGGTGATGTAACCACCAAAAATCACAAAATCTGACATGAACGTTATAGAGAAGTACTAACATGCGGAGGGCCATCTCCTCCACGTTGATGTTCGACCCGTCGGATTTTGAACCGGATCCGCCGCTGGTTCCATCGCCGGCCATCGGATCAGAGGGAGGGGATTGGAAGTGAAGTGGACGGGCGTATGAGACGGGTTTAAGACGCCTAGTTATAGATGCTCTTAGTCTCTCTAGACGCTGGCTACCTGGCTCGATTTGAGGATTTCCTTTTTTTAGGTGTATTTGGGGATTTCCTGGGACTGCCTGGGATTGCGGGTGTGGCCGGACTCACTAGATTGGAGATATGGGCTGCTACTAGGTTTGTGTTTGACGTGCAAATCCCCACATGTACCAATCCATGTATAAAACAAATCGTATTTTTCATATAGTGGATTTCGGCTACCGGGGCGGCCGACCATAGTCGCCCTTACCGTGGCGCCGCCACTACGTGCCGCCACCATGGGTTGTTCAGGCTTTGCCCGACGACAACTTCTGGTAACGGCGAGGAGAGAAAGATCGGACGGGAAGGACCAAAAAAACTTGGATCATGATCGCCTGATGTGTCGCCCGTCTGGATTACGCCGGCCAATTTCCATTTTCAGTTCCGTGGAGAATGGAAAACCTTGTCGATGCATCTAACTCGGGGTTGTATAGCTAAGTTCATCAGCTTACAGCTACATAACTGTATGCGCGTATGTTTTATACGCAAGCACGATGATTTGCCTGCAATTGTATTATTGTTGATGTGATTACTTACAAAAAATGAACTTTGGTTGTCAATAAATTAATATTTGTTAACTTATCAG